AATTTGAAAAGCTGGATGGGTAAATTTATTCAAACAGACAAGCTAACGCTATGATAGAAAGCTGTTGCATTTAGATAATTACTGCCCATAGTTCAAATGCACAAAACGATACTGTATTCCTTCCCTTGTTCTTTATTGAAGCCTTGTATAAAGCACAAAGTAGACAGTTTCTCCATCAACCGCCCTTCTTTCTGAAAAAATGTAGACAGATTTTCTGTACATGACTACATTTTCCCCTCTGTACGATTCCTATACATTCTTCAGTACCTTTGTGCATGTTTGCAAAATTCATGAACGTTTGATATAAGGCCTGTTTATTAAGATCTGAATAGCCCTATGATCTTTTGTCTATTAAGAAGTATGAGAATAGGTATCATCCAAGATTTGCATTTGGATGATATAAAGCAGCATCAGTGTGTGCGTGTGTGTGTGTGTGTGTGTGTGTGTGTGTGTGTTGGGTATTTTCCCACGTCATTATAGTTGTGCTTTTAAAGTTGTAGTGATGTTATATAATATAAATGGGTAGCTTAGAAAAATAAGATGGTATCCTATGTGTTAGATGGGAAGCTCTCATTCCGCTCTCATTTGGCTCTTCTAGCCTAAATGGTTATGTATTTATATTAGATGTGATATTAAATCATCTATCTTGAATGAATGAACATATCATGGTATAACAGATGCTGGTCTTATGTGGGAGATCTCCAGAATGGCCAGGTCGTTTCTATTGGATCACGTTGTGAATATAAAGATACTGTGGAGCATGAACTCTTGCATGCCCTTGGATTTTACCATGAACAGTCACGCACTGATCGAGATGACTATGTTAAGATTTGGTGGAATGCAATCATTGATGGTAAGTGGAAAGGACAGAAAATATATTACAAAGTAAATAATGTATTAAGTAATGTATTAGGGACTATACAAACTGTACAAATTAGATCTGTTATAATTGATTGTCTTGTCTAATTGTTTAATAAAATATTAAACCATTCATTTTCAAATTTGCCTAAAAACTTGGGTATTTTCTTTCCTAGGTCAGGCATATAACTTTGACAAATATGATGACAGTTTCATTTCTGATTTAAACACCCCATATGATTATGAATCTGTCTTGCATTATGGACCTTATTCATTCAATAAGAACAGTTCCGTCCCTTCAATTACAACAAAAATTCCAGAGTTCAACAATGTCATTGGGCAAAGCCAGGACATGAGCAAGATAGATCTAGAAAGGCTTAACCGCATGTACCGTTGTGGTAAGTTTATTCTATTTTACTCAATTTTCATGCTATAGTAATAGTAACCTTACATCTTAAAATGTCTATGGAGAGTCTCAGTCATTCAGGTCACTGTTGTCCCAAAGGAGCTTTTTCAAGAAGCAACTGGACTTCCTTATTTTTTTTTTGAAGACATTTCAATTTTCATCCAAGAAGCTTCTTCAGCTCAACTTTGGGACTTACATCTTAAATATTCCTTAACAACTTAGTCTATCATTAGGAATATGTCTATGGAAACTACAGAACTGAAAGCACAAAGGTGTTTTGGGGGTCCATCAGAATGCACACTTACCCAATTGCAACTTCTTGAGCCTTGCATGTCTTGCATGTTTTTTCCCAAGACCATACAATAGGAGGGATCAATCCAAATCTGAGGCACACATGGAGCTACTAGTCCCCACTAATTGCTGTCAGCACCCTCTGATAATTTATGGCCTCCCAGCTACTTCATTGCATCCCTTGGTCTATAAAATATTGTGTAAAATTGACTCAACTATTCATTCAGAACACTTATAGCACATCATGCTACACTAATACTCACTCATATGGAGCTGGGAATGGTTCTCAAACTGTCTTTGCCTTAACAAGGTAGTTTTGATGATGTTTTAATTCTCCGAAGGA